CTTGGCCCCTGCCTTTCGTCTTCTGCCACGTGGGCCTTGAGCAGGAACGGCTGCTGTCCTGGGGCGTTTGCATTTGCTGCCCCTTTGCTAGGACACTGGTGTCGATCTGGGTTTTTCTTCTTCAGATAGGCCTTTCCCAGCAGAAGAGCCCCAGACTCCCAGCTCCCCTTTTCTCCATATATTTTGGTGCTTTTTCCTGTATTAGGTATTTTTTTGAAAAGGGAGAGGAGAAAAGAGGCTTTCTTATTCCTTATATCCAACTATATGTACTGGCACTTGTATTTATCCCTAGCGGGACATTCCTTGTATTGCGGTTCATTTTAGGAATTCTGTATTGAGTGGCAGAGTTGCATACGATGGATGCATTTTTATAGAAGACAGTCAGTTAACAGTTGAATAAATAAATAATAACTAGAAAAGCATTTATTTGATTAGCTGAGTTTTAGGCTTCTTGGGGCATTAAAAGACAACAGAAGCTAACAGTTTTTCAAATACATTGTATGAGTAATAGGAAATTCTGGGTGTGCTCAGCATAAATATGAAGATACTCAGGATGAAGCTAACGTGAAAGCACAGACAAGCCAAATTCTGTGGGGAAAGTATTATAATTTAATGTGATTTTTAAAAAAATCATCTTCTGGGCTGGCCAGGGGTTCCATCTGGGGGCCTGCAGTGCCGGCCCCGCCCCCTGGGCGTGCTGAGAGGGCAGTTGAGACTGAGTGTGCACCTGTAAGCCTGTAATCCCAGTTCTTGGGAGGCTGTTAACAGGAGGATCACTACGAGTCCGATCTAGTAGTGAGACCCTGAACACCCTGTAGACCCTTCCCTAAAATAAAAAAAAGGATTGACACTGTCCTGTTCACAACTGTATTGTCGCATGCATTTCCCCAGTGTCTTGGCTATGCCTGGCTCATGAGGGAGCTCAAGTATTACAGGAAGAAATACAACAGCAGCGCGGCTCCGCTGCTTTTTTCATTGCATAGTATACACTCAGTTAATTGGTGGGCCTGTGTATTTTTATGCTAGTGAAAGACAGTATGCATTTATTTAAATATTAGCTTCCTCACTGCATACCAGCTCTTTCTTGCCTCCTGTGTGGTGTAGCGTGTGAGAGGGTGGAGTGCAGGACATGTGGTCCAGAGGAGCCGGGCGCCCGCAGCTTGTTTTTTTCCTCCACTAGGTGCTAAGTTCCAGAGGGACAGACACTGGTTTGTGCAGAGCTATGCCCTGTCTCCCCAATGTTTAGAAAAATTCCTACTACATAATAATATTACTCGAATAGGTCGTAATCTAAGCTGGAGGAAAGATCTGCAGACTGAGCCCGCAGAGTGGGAGATAAGCAGAGGACAATGTGTGATGGACCTGGAGGTTGGAAGGCACTGAGGCTGGAGGAAGAGATTTGGTACCTACCAGGGATCGAACTCGGGACCTTGTGCTTGCCATTGAGCTATATCCCCCGTTATAGAAAGAGCTTTGGATATGACCCCAAGGCAAAAGGAAACTACAAAGAGCTCTGCCTAACAGTATAGCACTTTTAAAGTGTTTGAAGGGAGAGCTGGGAGGACTTCATGTGGTGGAGTAAGGGGGCTCCTTGAGATGACACCTAGGGTTCTGCTCAGGTGATGGGAGTGACAGGCACTGAGCTGGGGGCTGGGCAGAAGATGCCACGGAAAGCACACGTGGGTCCTGTTAGGTGTGAAGTGTCTGTGAGATGTCAGGTGGAGCTGCGGAGTAGACTGTCCTGCGGAGAGAGCAGGCCCTGAGGAGGGTCACTGAAGGGAACACCAGGAGTTGGGGGTAGGTGGGGGATGAGGGGTTGAGATGGGGGGAGGGGGTGGCCTTGGCTGGGACTAAGAGCAGGAGACCTAGCAGGGTGCTGGGTTGGCCTTCCATTCTTTCTCCCTTTTTCTCTCTCCCTCTGTCATTCCCATTCTTCCATCTTTTTTTGTTTTTGAGACAGAGTCTGGCTGTGTGGCCCAGGCTGGCCTTGAACTTGCAGCAATCCTCCTGTGTCAGCTTCCCCAAGCTTTGTGATTATAGGTGTGTGCCACCATCCTTATGGACAAATACAAAGTATGTTTTCAAGAACAATTTAAAAGTATAGGAAAACTTCAAGAAGAAACTATGAATAATCTTTAGTTTTAGCATAGAGAATTGCTTTTAGTAGTTTAGTGTCTGGTTGTTTTTTAATAAAGTATATTACCTGTGTTATACATTATACTTTAAACTTTCTTCAGAAGTATATTTTGAATATCTTCCTTGTCACTAAACATGTTTCTGCAATTATTTACTTATATTTCAGTCTTTTATTTATTTATTTGGTCCAGGGTCTCATGATACAGCTTGGACTCATAGTGATCCTCCTGTTTTCAGCCTCTCCAGCACTGGGATTACAGATGTGTGCCACCATGCTTTGGTTCGGGTGGCACAATATGTGGTACTAGGGTTTGCCTGGCTGGTGCTTAGACCACCGAGCTATCTCCCCAGCCTGCAATTTTTGTTTTTAAGAGCTCTGGTATTTAAGCAAATCACTATATTGTAATTTTTAAAAACATCTGCTGTAAAGCTTTTAAATTATTTTTGTGCATTTTCATCACCATCGACAAATATTCTTATAAATACATCTTACTGTAAATACATAAAGATTTCTTACGCATAAATGAGATGGAATTTTTAGATAAAAGAGTGCATTTATTTATTTATTGCTATGAATTGCCAAATTGCCCTCCAGGAAAATGTGTACTAGCTTACTCATTGTTTCGAAGAAGCAATTCTTTGCTGTTACTGGCCTTTGAAGGATGTGTCTGTCTTGCATGATTTTAAAATTCAGTAGGTGGGTTGCAGCTAGGGTCAAAATAAGGCAGATTGGCATTCAGTAGCAGCGCAGGACAGTTTTCGGCGTCAGTCGCTCGGTGACACGTGCTTATTATTTATGGTTTGGGGCCTCAGTGTCAGGAAATGAAGTTGTGAGGGGAAGGCCAAAGCTCTCCAGTGTTTCCTTGACAAGCTCTCTCAGATATTAGCATTTGGTTAAACCAAGCACTTAAAGGCGTCCGCGACCGGCACGGGAATGCCGTGGAGAACGCGCACCTTCTCACATTATTTCATCGGCTCTGCCAACTCTTATTTTTTCGAATTCGTCCTATTTTCGTGTTTGATGGAGATGCTCCACTGTTGAAGAAACAGACTTTGGTACGTATCGTTCAGTGTTGTTTTCTTGTTAGAATTTGGTTGAATGCCCTTTATTTTATTTACATGTTGCTGGGGCTCGAGCCCAGGACTGTGTGTGTGTCAGGCAAGCGCCCTACCCCCAAGCCATACTGCCTTTTATAATTTTAGAAACCAACTTATTTTAATACATAGCCACTTTAATTTCAGTTGCCTTTTAAAAATTTAGCAGATAAATTCACTTTTTAAAAGCTGTGTATATGAGAGACATCATGGAAACAATGATAAAATGTAACTTTTAACTACTAGAATTTCTACAATTGAGAGTTTGCCATGGAGAATCTTTCAGGATTTCCCATTTATTCCAACCACCCCTCCATTGCTTATAACATCATGGGAAGCCAATTTAGGAAAGTCCTCCTAAATGTGAGGCTGATATCCTTAGTGATACAAGCCCCACTCCCCAAGGCAAATTGGGATTTAGGAGTAAAAATGCTGTGTTACAAGTGATGACTGGGGTGGGCTATCGAGGACGTAGATTGGGTGTGAGAGAAAAGAATGAGTTTCTTTATTGTTCTAAAAGTATTTCTAAAAAACATTCAAGCAATTGAAATGATTGCATCCCCTTTGGATATATGCCTGTCATATGCTGAAAATGTCAGCTCATCACGTGTACAATCATACCAGGCATGTAATAGCTAGTTAAATGGCGACACAGGCTAACAGTAAGAGTTTGTGAGCACTCAGGCATTTGTTGCCTCTGTGAAAGTGTCTAGACCCGAATGTGGTGGTACACTGTAATTTCTAAGGGATTCTTCTTATCAGGTGGGTTTTGGGAAGTTAGAAGAAGATATCTTGGCGATTTGGGTTATATTCAGCTCTAAGCACAAGACCTCTCAGTCCCAGATTGGGCATTTTTTGTATAATATTTCTATGGATTTTAGGAGCTCTTCTGACAGAATCTTGAGTGTTGAGAGGCAGAGTTATAGACAAGTAATGCATTTTTATAAAAAGCAGTGTCAGTTAACCATGTACAGAATAAATTAATATAATTTTATAAAACAGTTTGTTGTATGCGTAAGTTTTAGACTTTTGGGGGTGTAGGTATTAGAAGACATTTAACAGAAAGTGAGTTATTATTTTCTCAAACAATGTATAAGTCATAGGTAGAAACTCTGGGAGTCCCTAATGTACCATAAACATAAAGATGCTTATTGATCTACCCATAGTCTGGAAGCCCAGACAAACCAAATTTTGTGGGGAGAAGAAAAATCACCGAAATGTAACACGTCGTTGCTTTGAGGTCAAGTCTTAACACGTTTTTCTCTTCACAGGCAAAGAGGAGGCAGAGAAAGGATTTGGCATCCAGTGACTCCAGAAAAACCACAGAGAAGCTCCTGCAAACCTTTCTGAAAAGACAGGCCATCAAATCTACCTTCAAAAGCAAAAGGCAAGGGGAAAAGGATCTTAGTTTTAGAGAATGATATAAAAGCGTTTCATTTTTCTGAGAGTACCGTGGTTCTGTTCCCCTTATTTTTTATCTTTTTCTGTATTTTAGGGAAGGGTCTACAGGGTGTTCAGGGTCTCACTACTAGATCAGACTCATAGTGATTCTCTTGTTTACCGCCTCCCAAGTGCTGGGATTATAGGCACATGCCACCACGCCCAGTCTCAATGACTGTCTCAGCCTGCCCCTGGGGTGGGGCCGGTACTGCAGGCCTGGGGATCGAACCCTAGCCTCTGTGCTGCTTGCAGGTGCTTTAATCCGCTGAGATTTTTGGCCAGCCCTTATGTTCCCCTTATTTTAACTTTCAGTGGGAAAGTAAAGAGTGGAATGAGGTAACTAAGTCGGATGGCATTGGACCTGGTAGTTTGAAGTTGTGAAAACCCCCACTTCTGTAAGAATCCACCTTGATAGATACAAGCTGTGATGTTTCAAAGCTTGTCCTCACTTGCCCTTTTATATATAATTTTTGCACCGCTGGGGATTGAACTGAGGTCTTGCATGTGCTAGGCAAGCGCTGGCGTGGAGCTGCTGGACGCGCACAGCCCGACCCTTGACTTTGGCAGAGCTCTTCCTCCTGGCAGCAGTTCCAGGCTGCGGCCGAGGCTCTGCGGAGCCCTGTGAATTCCTCTAGGCTGACATTGCTTACTTGGGCAGCGGAGGTCCGGGAGTGCCTGGCCTGGAGGGGGAGGCCCCCGCCCTTGAGCACAGTTTGTGTAACCAAGGGGATAGGATCACTGGCTAAAGTACAGATCGCACCAAAGCTCCGTTTAAAGTTATGTGTGCTTTTCAGAAACGAAGCCCTGCCCAGTCTTACACAAGTTCACAGAGAGGATGATATCTATGCTTTGCCACCCTTACAGGAGGAGGAAAAACACAGGTAAATGTTTATATAAGACAGTTACTTTAATCTTTGTGGTATTCCAAGACAGTTAAGCCTTCATGTTTTATCTGTGTGAGCGGCCCTGGGGGAAGTACTAGGCGGCCCTGGGGGAAGTACTAGGCGGCCGCAGTCCCCAGTTTCTGTACTCTGTGGAATAGTTTTCGAAGACTGTATTTTTTGTTTTCTACTTTGGCTTTGTATTTTGGTGGTTTGTGATTCACTCTTCTTTTTTATACCAAAGAGCCTCTGTTGACCCTGTGGATTTAAGATGTACGAAGACATGATTTTAGCTTTCTTACACTTTGAGTATACTCACCACCTCTACCTGCTTCTTGGCCCAGCCTTGTGTTTCCCACCACCCGGCTAGAGCGCCCTACGCAGCGTCCTTTTGCTGTGTGTAGATGCACTGCGCGTCTCAGTGTGTTGTACTCCTCGGCTGCGTGGCTGCTGACCTGCTCTCGTGCATCTCTCTGACTGCTCCTCCTCAGCAGCTCTGGTACCCGTTGTTGTCATTTCCTTAGTGAAAGCCCTTCCCAGCTTCTCATTTCTTTTTCTGTACCTTGTCCCTTCGTGTCTTCACGCTGTCTGCAGTCAGGCTTTCATTTCTTTGTTTCCATATGGTTACAGAACTTTGTTCTTCTGATGGGCAAACTTGTGTCCAGGAACTTTCCGTCCGTCCGTCCGTCCGTCCTGCACTTTTGTGGCTGACTCTAGCCAGCGGGTTGTAGTAGATTTCAGGAAGCTCATGACTCCTCCCCCTCCCCCAGGGGGCTGCCTCTCCACTTTGCACCTAAAGCAACCGGAACTTCAGAGGCTGCTTCCAGGTGCTCACTCACACATGGTCCCTGCCAGGCTGCAGCTCTACTGGTAGCGTGGGTCTTGCTGTCTTCCTGGTGTGGCCTCATGTCTAGTAGCACCTGATACTCTAGCAATAGCTTTGCGGGCAGTTATTTGTGAGCAGAAGTATTGTAAATATGTGCTTGACTTTCAGTTCAGAAGAGGAAGATGAAAAAGCATGGCAAGAAAGAATGGATCAAAAGCAAGCATTACAGGTATTTAAATAATTTTGGAATCGAGACTTTTGTTGTTTGAAACGAAAGACATGAAAATGAGTGACCTCAGTGAGGTAGTATGAATTTGTGAAGGTTCCAGTAAAGATGTGCCTTTTTGTTATGTATTTGTATATGTGTGTATAGTGGAGTGCATGTATTACACATATATATGGAATATGCCATTGTCCACACCTGTACAGCCAACTGTTTTATCGTCATCCAACTGACTAATCCGTAAATAAAAAGTAATACACGGTTGTATGAATATAGAACACATATAACCTATAAATAAGGGGTATAGCCTGTGGGTATATTTTGGGTCATCCCCTGCTTCATGTGGTTGAGTGTGTGTGTGTGTGTGTTTGTGTGTATGCACCACATGTGCGCACATACATATACCCTTGTGTTAGTACTTTTGCATTGCTGGGACACAAAACCGGACACTCAGAATTGAAAGAAGAAAAGGTTTATTTTGGCTCATGGTCTGTAGAGGTTTTAGTCCACAGTGGGCTGACTCCCCAGCTGGGACATAGCAGTGGAAACGTGAGGGAGGGAGAAGGGACATGTGCTGCTCCAGCTGCGCCCCGGGAGCTGCCTCCCTGACCGGGTCTCACCTGCCGTTGTCACCCCCCGTGGGCTCTAGGCCCCTCATCGCTCTCCCAGGGCCCACACTCCTGACCCAGTCACCTCTCACAGCCCCGCTGTGGGAGGATGTCTAGATGGAAGCCATGGCACTTTGTGTGTGTGTGTGTGTGCGCGCACGTGTGTGCGTGTGTGCAGGCAGGGCTCTCAGACTTGCGTTACTAATGGCCTAGGTGCCTCAGTCTGTTACAGTGGTGCCTTGGCGCATGAGCTTAATTCTTTCCACAATTCCGGTTGCAGACATAATTCCATGATTCTGGTCGCAACTGAATTTCACCCAAGTATGTACAGCATACATATGATGGCTCATGCCTGTTGTCCCAGCACTCTGCGCGGCTGAGGGAGGAGCATCACAAGTCTGAGCCCATCTTGGGCAACTTAGTGTCTTAGCGATACACTGCCTCAAAATATAAAGTAAACAAGGTGGGACACAGCTCATTGTGAAGGCCTCAAGGTCCTTGCACTTGCTGTTCCTCCCACTTAGGACACATGCTCAGTCAGCATTCTTGGTGTCCTTCTGGTCCCTGAAGCCACATCCTTTTTCTAGTAGGGTCTTCTCTGTCATTCAGGTATTTTCCTGTTCTCCTAATTACTCTTACCAGATTCACCCGGGTAGTTTTGTCTGGTTTGTTTGCTTGTTGGTCATGAGCCTTCCTCCCTGCTATTAGGGCCCTTCTCCTGCTCGGTCTCCACAGCGCCCTGGCGCCTTAGTAGAGCCTTGAAGGTGCTGCTCGGTGTGTGCTTCTTCATGAGGGACTGAAAGAATGAGTGATGTCCCCGTCCCCCAGCCCCTGCCCTTTGATGCCTACACATACGTGCACTTGTGTTGACTTCCTGCAGACTGGAGAGCTGTGCAGGGTAGCAACACGATCCATGTGTGTACCAGCGACTGGAATATGGTGCGTGTAACACACATATCATGGCACTGTGTTTTATTCTTTACAGGAAGAGTTCTTTCACAATCCTCAAGCAGTAGATATCGAGTCTGAGGACTTCAGCAGCCTGCCCCCTGAAATAAAGCATGAAATCTTGACCGATATGAAAGAATTTACCAAGCGAAGAAGAACATTATTTGAAGCAATGCCAGAGGTGAAAGCTTCAGTAACACACATGTCCATTCATGCTTAGAATTAAGAACCTCACCCAAGCTCTGCATTTGAAAAAAGGCAACTCTGTAAGCAGTACTTACATGGTATCTCAGTTTCCAGTACAGAGCATTTGTGTGTCTCAGATCCTGTGAAGCATCGTATTTTTAGATTTGAAGTCAGGAAATCTTCTGACTTTCCACCCAAGACTGGGTCTTTTCTTCTCTGTGTTCGTGGTTCTGGGTTTTCAGCCCCGGAACAGGCCTGTCCTGCTCACTTCTGCATCTTCGCTCGTATAGTGGACGTTGGGTGTGCTGCGAGTGGTTCATTTCTTCAGTTCATGAAACTACTGTGCACTCTGATACACATTACCTAGAACAGCTAAGGGCATGGTGGAATTTAAACCCAACGGACCAGTGTGTACTCGCCTTGACCTTCCCTGTACATTCGCTTCTTTTATAGCTGCAGAACCGTCTCGGCCTCCAGGCTCCCTTTCCTCTTTCTGGACAGTGGGACTAGAGCTGCTTCAGCGTGGACTGATGGTGGCTTCACAGCCACAGAAGGCTGGCGTGGGGGTGGCGTGTGGGGTTGGTGCCCACGAGCAGGGGACTGTCTCCCTACGTGCACTCCATTTGTGCCACCATGAACCACTCACCCTCTGTAGTTGCTGCTGAGTGAGCTGTTTCCTCTTCTGCCACCACCACTTCTATTTCTAATCTGGTTCCTTTTGACCCACTGTAGGACAGTGTGTTAATTTTATAGCCTTATTCTCAATGAATTGATGGAGTGTTTTTGAAAATTTAAAAAATTTTAAAAACTTGTTGAATACTTCCTGAAATTGATACCGGTAATAGAAAAAAAATCATACTATCCCTTCATCGCATCCTTTGGTTTTTCCATGTAGAACGTGAAGATGAGAAAATGCTAAGGTGCACAGAAATGATACTCTTGTGTCTTGATTTTAGAGGAGTGTATTTACTTTTACTTCAGGGGAAGAACTCCAGACTCCCCGCACGCTGTGTAAGTGGGACATTGATCCTGGCGGCGATGGAGAGTAGCAGCAATAACGATAGTAATGCGCATGACGAAGCAGGTCACGGGTCGCAAGCCCGCCTCCTTCCGACCCCTGGTCCGCCGCTCCTTAGCCACATATCTGGGGTGACTTAAGTGATGGAAGCCCTGATAGCCTCAGCTTAGCACGGGCATAATGATGTGTCTCAGAGCATGGTTGTGAGGATAAGCTGTGGTAGTTTAGGTAGAAGGCAGAGTGCCCTATGGGAAGTGCTTCGTAGGTGTTACTGTTAGCATTAGTAGCTCTGATAGCTGTGACTTAAGGGCCAGTGCTGCATGCTTACGTGCATTCTCAAAGGTGGTGTATTAGAGCCCTAATCAAATATAGTACTGCCACATGTTATGTGCTTGAGCACATGTTTGCTTTTTATTTTTTAATTTTTAAAAATAATTTTATTGAGAAACAAATAACAGTGAGACAGTTTCAAAACCGATCAGTAGGACAGTTTCAATAATAAATACATTGCATATTGTTGTCTCAGTGGTTATTCGTTGTACAAGGTGCAGACATGACATCCGTCCACAAACACTATTAGAACAAAATCTTATTCATTGAATTAAGAGAATATGGCTGTATATCTATTCTAACTATTTTGAATATACAGATACAAAATGATCATTCATTTGTATCCCCTTTTTTGTATAGTTTTGTCAGAGAAGGGTATTCCATTGTCATTTAAATATTGTAGGTGCGTGAATTCAGCAAAATAATCCAATATAGACCAGTAGTCCATAATAGTAGTGGGTCATCCACAGCACTGGCAATGTCAGAAGTTGTTGACCTGAGTCCTCTATAGCCCAGCACACCAACATGGCTTTACCCCTTATACCTCATTTTTATACCTTTCTGATGGATGGTTAAGACCAACATAAAACAAGACCTACATAACAAGAAATGTAACTTTTGTATCTGATAAGGTCAGTCAGATCTCAGGATGTATCCTGAAACCCTGTAGCACAGTTTGTAGATACTTTCTCAGTGTCAGCCATGTGGATGAGTCACGACCTTTGCTTGACCAATTTGTTCTCTGTGAAAGCCTGAGAGAATGTTTTCTCTCCTTAGGCACACTCTACATCATCGATCACATTCCTCTGTGGCCCCATAATCTCCTTGATCAGAAAATTTGGGACACAACTGAGTTACATGATGATACAGTATAGGTTCTCCTATGTCCTGAGTCTTCACTGACGTTGAATGGCTAGGGCCAGAATGTTTTCTGACCTTTCAGCCCTTCTTTTTCTCTAATTTTTGGTCTGCAAACTTAGGTTGTTAACCCTCCAGAAGAGAATCTTATTATTACCCTACAACATATGCAGTTGGGTTTAACCTAACTACCTGTCTGAATATCACACATCTTAGACATAACATGGAACAGGTATTTTCCATCAAATATTGATATGTCAAACTTAAGTCCCTACAGAGTATGAAGAAAAAAATGAATAAACAATTACATATTTTTACACAGAAATTTAGAAATCTAACCATATACAGCATGGTAGCAGGACAGTCCTGTGACTTTTTTTTTCTTGTCTCTATTTTTCATTTATTGCCCTTATTTTTAAACAAACACTTACTTGAGAGACAGTATGACAGTAATTGGTATGTCATGACAAGCAGTATGTATTTAGAAGAGCAGAATGACGGGCATTCCAAGCATGACCCTACTATTACACATCGCTATCTTCAGTGCAGTTGCTTAGTTCATAGGTATCAGCATATATAGTCAGGATGAGAATCCTACCAATTAAATGCTAGTTTCAAAAACCTGCTGATGGTTCTCAGGACCATTGCCTTACCCATCTTGTGCATATAAATGTATGGCTTTGTCTCTGTCGTGTTTCCTAGCTTTTCTCCTTGCCTTCTCTTCATTGTCTAATCCTCAAGTTCTTGCTTTCCTTTTAATTGTGTTATACCTTTCTATTTGTATTTCTTCTTTTGAGTTCTTATACTAGGGAGACTTTACGATATTTATACATGTGTGAGTTTTATTTCACTTATGAGTATATCTTTCAGTGGCATCCACTTAAATATGAAGGCATTGAGTTTATCATTCTTTATAGCTGAATAATACTCCATTGTGTAAAAATACCACATCTTTCTCAACCATTCCTCAGGTGATGGGCATCTTGGTTGTTTCCAAGATTTGGCTGTCAC